CAGTTCACCACAGTCTCAATATCTTCCTAAACTATCAACAGATAATCGGAGGTATTGCGCCAGGACCCGAACAGTACTGCTCGCAAATTCATGAACTCCCGACAACCAAACTATATATATGTATATATATATATATATATATATGGACCTTAGTCGGCACACACTTTTAGGGTACCTTCCTGATTGTTGACTTATCTGATGTTGTTACTTTTTGCAACCAGCTCGTAGAAACCTATCGTTATGCTGCTAGTAATGCCAAGTTTCGCAAAGAAATTCTATCCGAGTACAGATTCCGAAAAGCGAATAATATATGTCGCTTTGTTGTCTTTACAGGAATTCAGTGAACCAAGTGAAACTGCGAATCAAGGAGACAGGGATGTCTTGCACCGTTCTCCATCCTCCATCACACCATCTTCGCAGCAATCCATTCCATCGAATCCATCATCTTCTGCCTGGCCATCTGTTTCTTTACCTGTGGCATCACTCATAAGCCTAGCTTGTTCTTCAACGCCGTCCAGCAGTGCCTCCATTGATATGATCAGCACCATTCTTCCAACTTGCACTCTCGTATCCTCGCCTATCTCTCGCCCCTGTAAGTTCCGAACTTCCTGCAGCTCCAACAGATAGGGATTGCACGTGTCGCGCCAGCTGAACAAGGAGCTTTGGGTTGCGTCGTAATCACAAAGCTGATGTCAAACTTGATAGGCCTTACAGAAGAATTAACATCAATAATGTACAGGGAAGGCAATTAAGGTTGGCGACAAACCATCTGGGATAGGGCGATCAGTATGCTTGAACGCTAAATGTACAAACCTATCATGACTTTACAGGCTTTCTAATATTACAAGGCAGGTGTCGATACAAGGCCCAGGGTAGATAGCGTAGGTTCATCACCACATGAGCTAGCCAGATTTGTGGCATGCATCCTTATGTCTTGCATACACCCATGATTCATATGATTTTGCCATGTAAGGTACGCTGGAACCCGATGAAGTTCTCGTTAATTTTAATGTCAACTCGTATGTACCCAAAGCGGGAAGCATCAAGCTGGTTGTTACTGGTGGACACAAGGCTGCAAAGACCAACGCACCTCTCCTCAGACGAGATGGTAGAGGGCGTCAGAGTACACTTAAACGTCACTTGCCTTGTTTCCAATTCAGTTATGTACTTTTAAGAAGTAGATCCAATGATGGGATCTCCAACATCCCTCATTTTTCCTAATCTCTATATGCGAGACTTTGAACACAGCCTCTTTCGAATGTCCACCGAAAGTTTTTTAGTCGGTGTGACCAAGCGTTATAAACGAAACGAATTTTACCCGTATTTTAACACCTTGAATTTCCATTCTAAGTTCGGCATGAACCCAGAGCATAATTACATTACCTGCTTAAAATACTCGTAAGCCAAAACTGTTGATTTTTTGCTAGTATATGTCAGACTTCACCTGAGTTCACACATTTAATGATGTTCAACCGGACCACTTCTGTCACTATTCCTTGCCTGCTCGTCGTGCTTCAGGGGTCGAAACGACTATAGGATGTTCACTCACAGACGTGAGTACAGACGTGGTGTTGTACTTGGTCCAGGGAAAGCTGTGTTGGCCAGCCCTCACATTCTGTCGTGTGTTGGAGCAACGGTACAAAGTACCTATAAAATCTGAGGTAATGAGCGAACCACCTACGGTAAAACTGAATTGGGAGATGGGGAGTGGGAATCTCTGCGTGTTAGTCCGCGCAAAGTCCATCTAACGTAGCCAATTTTCAGGATTATATGGGAGATATCGCTTGGTATGTGCTATCTTCAGACGAAGGACGGACATTCAGGTATTCTGATTACATCTCTCCTGTGCACAACGCTCCGGTGTGAAGAGTCAGATGGCAATGGTCTCGGCAGCCTTAGATTACGTAATCTGGCTGCCTTAGACCAGTTTTGTGACACCTGGTGAACAAGCCAACATGCAGTGTTCCGATCAGCGACGTGATCCGTGTCGATGTGTAGCCGTCCGTACCTCCCTGGACGAGCCACTTTGGGCAATCTTCGCTAGCGTGCCCAGACAAGTTCTGCTGAGTATGCCCCATCTGTTTCATAGGCAACCATCAATGAGTGTGTCTTTGTTTTGCGGCCCCAAAAAAGGTGAAGTTGGTTAACATCTCGGTTACCGCGTCACCTTTGAATTATTGTAAGACTTAGACGACTCCCAACTATAATTTAACACGTTATTTGTAGGATGTTTGGCTGATTAGTTGTCTGTTCACTTCAAAACCCAACCAGCTTTATAACCTCGCTCATTGGTTTTGCGCTGCCCACAACGAACCTACCTATCAGATCAAGTGTAGTACCCTTTTCTCCAGAACTAGCCGTTAACTCCTTTGTACGAGGCTCATTCCTGTTCAGTTTCGCCGTTGACCTTATCACTGTGAAATGGGGAAAGAGACATGTCATGTAAATCCAGTCCAAATTTGAAACTAATTGAACTTACAACGTTTTTGAAACCCCTTCGTATTTCTCTCTTTTCCGATTCAGCCCTCCCAAACAGCCAGTGCAGTCCAGAATATTATACTCCTCTAGAACCGCCCGAGCCTACAGACCTTGATTTCCTAACTGCCGAACCTACCCAACGGAGCCTAGTTACGAGTAACTGGGATGCTACACCCATTGTTCATCCTCCGGTCAATGGAGATGCTGAGTCGAGTAAGTTCCGTAGCCTGTGTGGCGAGTTACTCATCGCTGTTGTTGGCTCAAACTTCTTATTTGTTAGCACTCAAAGCGAATCGGTATGGTCACTTTGTTTCCATTAATCAAGTGCGCCACCTCTTGTGGAGGGATGATATAATGGTCGTTGAGCTATTCGATGAAGTGGATAGTTCAATTGTAGCACCTTTTCGGTGTCTAGCTTCCATACCACGCGAACGAAACTCGAGGGCTGAGATATTGCCAGGTTAGCCAAGAACACACGGGAGCAGTCGAGATGCAGTGTTTTTTGTTCGAACGACGGACCTTCCAGTCAGCACCTTAACCACTGAACTATCTCGAACTAAACTGACCCAGACGGATATCCAATTGAACCAACGGATGAGTCTCTGTCTGATCATTGAGCCGTTGTAAAAGAATGACAAAATTTGAACAAGATGCAGGATGAAAATGGGCTATTCAAGCAAATAATATATATATATATATATATCCGAAAGGAGATGTGAGGCGAGATCGTGGAGGCCCATAAGGGGGGAAAGGAATCCGTTTTAAGTCCATGGCTTCATACCAAATCGATCAATCAATTTATCAGCTGCAAACCGTTTACCATAGGCACATTGTTTCTAGTTGCTACAGTTCCGATCACCGAAATGTTAGAGCATGGGACATACAACCAACCCTTGGAGACGATGCCATGTTAGTTGGTCAGGGAACTGGGTAGCTACGCATTGAAGGCGATAGCTTTGATGCACGAGTGCCAGTGACTGCGCAGTTAGGCCATTGCTGTCAGTGCCACTAACCATTGGTGAGTTCCGAGGTCCCCATCCAGTTAGGTGGAGGTTTTCGTGGCGTTCAAGTCTACTGGTTAATATTTTCATACTTCGTCTCCAGGTCACACGCTGTGCACCTGTCGGTCGCTTCTACTCAGCACAGAGCTGGGAGGAAAGAGCTCTGCGAGGCAGAGCGTCTTCTGGCATGCGAAGTACATGTCCTAACAAGCGTAACTCATGAAGCATTTCATCTATCGCGGAAGAGATCTTTCTTCCTGGGACCATCTGGCGTATCTCCTCATTACTAATCCGATGTTCCCACCAGACCCGACCAATGCTTCAGAGACAACGATGGTCAAATACGACATCTTCCGTATGTGCTCTGTGCGTAGGGGCCACGTCTCTGATCCTTAAAGTAGTATGGATGACACTGCTGCAACATAAACTCTTCCCTCGATAGACAAACTGACGTCGCGTCAGCCCCATATGTATCGAGGTTGGCAAAAGATACCCGGGATTTCCTGATTCGAGAAGTAATCCCATCTCAGGTCAATCCGCCGGAACTTATACAGCTGCCCACGCTGATTGGCTCACCTTCAAGCATGAAGTTTGTATTTGATATAACCCAGTCTTGTAGAAGGCATCAGTGTGCTGCAATGGAGTGATGAACGTAACAGGTGTCTCATGTAAATCCAATCCAGATTTGGAATTGAGCGAACGCTTAGAAACGTCCATCGTTTTTGTACACCCTTCGTATTCTTCTCTTTGTCGGTTCAGCCCTCCCAAACAGTCAGTGCAGTCCAGAATACTATACCCCTCTAGAATCGACTGAGCCTACAGACCTTGATGTCCTTCCTGGTGAACCTACCCAACAGAGCCTAGTTACGAGTAACTGGGATGCTACACCCATTGTTCATCCTCCGGTCAATGGAGATGCTGAGTCGAGTAAGTTCCGTAGCCTGTGTGGCGAGTTACTCATCGCTGTTGTTGGCTCAAACTTCTTATTTGTTAGCACTCAGAGCGAATCGGTATGGTCACTTTGTTTCCATTAATCAAGTGCGCCACCTCTTGTGGAGGGTTGATATCATGGTTGGCTATTCGATGAAGTGGACAGTTCAATTGTAGGACCCTTTTGGTGTCTAGCTTCCATGCCACCCGAGGTTAGTACGAGGGCTGAGATGCTTTCAGGTTGCTCAAGCCTAGACAGGAGCAGTCGAAGGTGTAGAAATTGGGTTTGAACCCCGAACTTTCCGGCCAGTAAGCAACCACTGAACTTCCTCGAACTCAACTGGACAATTATAGTTTGTTAATGTCTCGGATGAGTATCAGCTTCAACCAGTGGTGCACCTGATGAGAGTGGAGGATCCTCATTCTGGTCATGAGACTCACATAGACGGATGACGTGATTTGAACCAGAGTCAGAATGTAAGTGGACTGTTAAGGCGAATGATGAACAAAAAGTATATCTAGAGTGGAAGAATACGAAACGATATTGTGCAAAGTCATAAGGAGGGAAAGGAGTCGGTTTTAAGTCCGTGGCTCCTTACCGAGCAATAAAGTGAAAGAATGACTCACACGTTTGAGTGGTTAGAAAACTTAGTCACGAGAAGCGAAATTTTATTAGCTTTACCGTAGTGGTGGTATGTTATTGGGAAAAAAGAAGCTACGTAATGTTCGCTGGCGGGGATTAGGTAGTGTAGCCGTGGTCTGGTTTTGCAAAGTCAGTTCCATCATTGTTGTCGTCTTTATTGATTGAAAGTTTCGGGAGTCAATGATTTCATTTCATCCGAAGGCCTTTCTTCTTACACACCCTCAAGGGGGCTCTTCCAGCAATCTCCAAGATGAGTTTCTCCGTTGTGCTATCGGAGCGCTTACTATACTGGTGAAAATTCTTTCATTGTACAATTTCCTAATATCTGAACTCATCGTTGAATGTATGTGTTTGTCAGTGCCAGTGCCAGTTAATTGATCTGCTCGAATGACGTCTTTAGTCGCGCTCTTAAGTCTTGCTGGGGTGAGCTTTTACTGGCAAAACTTGATGGCATAGAGCTGTTTTTGTTGTTGTCTTTAGTTGAGCATTACCTGCACGTAAACCTATAGAACGCCAGGGTCTTAATGCACACCTAAACTATTTCAGTCTGTTCTAAAGCTTGAGCCTCTTCGTTTCAGATCTGAGTGTGTTGCATTTATAGCGCTTCCAGGGTTGCATCCTGCGTTGTGCATTCTGAATCCTCTATCTATGCTTTAAACTTCCTTTGAATTGCACTTTTTATGTTTTTCACTGATGGCTTTTGTTGTCGCTCACAACTTTTTACACAAGTATTCGTGATATCCGCTTTCACCGCTCTCCTTCGTGGATTCATATGTATTTGTTTGTCTACCTAGCATCTGGGTCCACCTTGGTCACACAGAACAACCCAGTTCCAATTTGCGACACCTCTGTCCTCCAGACGGAGGGTGGCTCAATCGACACCTCATCGAACACTAACTCGACCAATTCTCCCGTTACCAGGATTTTTCGATCACTGTTGGACGTAAGTTCTTCTCGTCCATGAAACATCACCTGCATGGTATGCCTTGTTGGATTGCACAATGCAGTAACCCCTCCCCAAAAGGGATGACATCGAAGACTTCCCCACACTTTTGCCTACAATAGCGTTCATCATCAACCGCAACGTAGTCCTGCCCCCACCGCAGGGATCTGGTACCAACTTTCTGGTCCCTTATCTGCTTCTCTTGAACCGTGGATTTTGTCCTTCACATCTCAACGTATGCATAAACAGCATTCAGGTCGTTTGGCTTTTTCGGGAGGATTATGCTTAAGGTTTAATGATGGTTACTTCAGTCTCGTAAGGTGAATAGTCCCTCAAAAATCGTATCACCCTATATTTTACACCATTTTTTGCTTATGAACACTCATTCTGACAGGTCCATCGTCCCACGCATTAGACTCAGCCACAATTTACTGTCGAATCCTCCGGCGAGTAATGGCCAGAACATCCCTTCCCATACTTTTTTCATGAAGATTGATGTGCGGATCATCTCCAGGTGTAATTCATGTCGATCTGGCTTGCATCGATAGATAACTGGTAACGTCAGTGCCGGGTGTGTCAAAACACTGGAGTTCTTATCCCGGTACGGCCGATCATGTGCGCTAGAATTCGAGAGTGGCTCTTTCTATCTTGTGATTTATCACTCATGGACATATCAGCGCACATGGAGGCATATTCGGGCGGAGTAAATGTGCATCCACCTGGTAGCTTTCCGATGGGTACCCTTTCAACATTCTGGAGTTTTCTAAAAGGGAAGATTCCCCAACGTTCGCTCTTTTGTGCGACCTTGAAACTTACAGACAATTCAGTCCAACTGGATAGTTGACCACCCCATAGAGGGGAGAGATAGCCCGATACTTTCGAGTGCCGTGCGCAGCCACCATACGGTCACTTTAGAAGGGGAATCGCTGAAGGAATGGTCTTTTAGGTGAAGAGGGGTTTCTGTACTCCCAGCATGCAATGCATTCTGATCACTATTCATAGCGGGTACTCTACTTGACCTTATTGTGACCCTTTAGTAAACGATTTCAGGCCCACGTGTTCCGTCCTACTTTGTCCATCTAAAGACTCTCAAAAAGGGACTATGAGCTATCGTGTTTGCACTTTCCGTCATTCGTTTGTACCTTAAACGTGTAAACGATGTAACGATTCTTTTTTATAAAGAACGTGTATAAGTTTTCGTTGAATGAATTTAAAACTAAGGTCAGGCTTCTCGCGTACAAGGGGGTTGACGATCACATTCCTTGAAATCACACTGCACTCGGGGACGTTTTTTTAAAGACAAGTGGACGATCAATCTATACAGGGAGAATGCGAGCACTAAAACCTGAGATCACAGAAATCTGGACGCTGCCGATTCAGTCCATCCTTCCAGAAAGAGATCCTCATGACTTTCCCGCAGTTTGACATGAGACGTTTGCGATCGGCTAACGGATGTCAGTATTTTTTATGCCATAGTTTTATTTAGGTTTCTTGACTGAATGTAAACACCTCTGCATAATTGCGGTGAGCCATCCTCAAACCGGCCTTGAGATGTTCGAGAGTAGCCCTGATGTTGCACGGGTGTAAATCATCAGCGTCCACAGTGATGTTGCTGTATTTGTCTATGATGCTTCTGCGTGTTTATTGTTCACGTGTGGAATGAAGTATGGAATATTCACATTAGTAACGTCTTTCAAAAAGCAACACTCGTCAAGCAGGCGTTATTCCTTCCCTTTACACTTCCCCTGGTAAAGGAAGACGCTTCAGGGATTTCAGCATCACTTGTACACGTGTTCATGCCTTTCGATGAATTGGACGCTTTTTACCCTCGTTTTTTAAGAATGATTGCAAGCATTGCACAAACGTTATTTTAGATGCTTTTGTCCTTCATCCAGCTGCTTAGCAGACTTCTCGAGGCCTTTATTGCTAAAACTGTCGTTCGACTCCATGCTTAAAGGTATCTGTTTTAAAGCAGTCAAGCATCAGTGCTCCCACGTTGTTGTTGATGTGTAGGTCGTTGGATGATTAAATGAACAGAAGTCCCGTGTGGAAACAAACACCGATTCTGAAGCTGAGTAATTGTGCCTACTCGCGAATCCCTCACCTAGGGTATTCTTTAGCTGAGTTCAATGCAAAAAGACCGCCTCTATGTTCCACTGGATCGATATTCACCCGGTGTCGAATGATGAATTAGCAGTGTTCATGACAAGAAAATTACTTAGTTATGACTAGCGGGAATATGGTACAATTTGATTGTTCTTCAAGAGACAATAATTGGGACAAGTGAACGGTTCTCTCCGGTCCCTCCTGTCAAAACCTGTCCATAGATAGGATTGCCGAATGAGGTCATTCAATCTCATGAGTTTTTCTGGACTTTCGTGACCATACCAACTCCCTTAAAAAAGAGGATGTCATGGAGAATGCGTCATTTTGCTCTTCTTTGGAAGGATTTTCAACTGACTTATGGCTGGTTGTAGAGTCTGTCGTAGTCTCTCCAAGGAAAGGAGTCCCTTTGTGATTGTTCTTGGCTGGTCTTTTCAACCTGAATCACTGTCCAAATCTGCATTTTTTTTCTACGGTGTAATCAGCTACACTGTGTATTTTCCTAGTTTTTATCCTGTCAGGCAGGCCGATTTGTGCGTCGCTTCAGTACTGGACGCACACCGCAACTAATGGAGAAACCGACTGGTAAAACGGTTGACCATTCACCCAGCCTTCAATCCACCAGCAGTTCAGAGATAGCAAGCAGTATTCCGGATAGACCTTCCAGGTTGTTTGTCGTAAGTCTCTGTTACATTAGCTTGCTCTAGTTGCTTAAATTGTTCAAAGCGGTATTTCATGTACACAACTTTAGGGGTTTCCTTCCCTTAGCAGCTGTTTTCCTTCATGTTCTTTTCTTCACTCCCATATTTTTGACCACTCCGTTTATCTGGACCGCATGTTGTCGTAATGGCCATAGGAATTTAGCGGCATTGGATCCACTAGTACGCTCATCGCGACATCTGTTTCAATTTTCGGACCTGCTAAGTGGAATTTGGAATAAGGTCATGTCTGTATTGCATAAAACGGTCGGAACAACCGGACATTCTTGTAGGACGCACGTTCACTTCCCCCAAAGCTTCCTCCCGTTTCTTGCCAACCCCTTGCACGTGAGATTTTTATCACTCAATGTAGTTTGGAATGGATTCGCCTAAGTTCAATCGCGGTTATGTATTTCTGGAACCACCCTGGTATCACTTGGTTCCCCTCTGGACGCTGCCGCTGTTCGAGCGTGTAGTTTGGCTTAGTGTGTGTAGTCTTATACGCCTGCTGGGAGTTCTTTTAGAAGTTATCTTTTATCGGCAAGACGTGACTGTCACTCACAAATAGGGCTATTCACACGGACAGTCTAAGAAACCAGTCTTCATTAAGAGTCAGTCCCATTCTTCTAAGTATCTTTTGCCTCTCACACGATGAAGTGGGTTACTCCTTTTCCAGCTTCCGCCGTTCGATTAAAAATCAGCTTGTACAATGCATTAATTCTCTTCAGAGGGAACATCTCAGGAAGTAGACTCTACTCAAGTGAATTGTGGAAAGTTGGACGTATGATTTCAGTAATTTTTAATCAGGTCATACAATCAGTTACACCCTGCCTGAGTCCAAAATTCACTCCATTAGTTAATTGGACCTGTTTACTCCTCTAGTGATGAATGGCGTTGCTCAACAGTTCTTTGTCAGTATCTCGTATGACGTCTATCCATGTACTTAGACAGTTTCAACCTATGCAAGTGTGTTGGGGCGATACGGCTCGGTGGTTAGAGCGCGAATTTACTGGACGCAGTCGGTAGTTCGAACCAGTCCTCTACTTCACGAATTCCCCTGTCTAAACTTGCTCGACTTGGCAGTATCCCAGCCCTCGTGCTTCCTTTTGGTTGCATGGCAGTTAGGTACCAAATTGATGTTACAGCTGAATGATCATCGTCATCATCATCATTATTATTAATCGTATTGGCTGAAGAGGAGTCACCGAAGAATCACGTTCATCAACCCCTGTACTTTATATAATCGCATGGGAATTTTGGTATCTTGCAACTCGTCAACAGCAATCGCTATTTCATGCGTGCATTTGTTGGAAGGGAACGCGGCCCATTTCGGTCACACAATCGAATGATTTCATAAATGATCCGAATGGGATCTGCTGGTCAATAGCAATGTACCTGTAATAAGTACTGATGCTTGCCTATTAGGAATGAATAAATTAGGAAGCGAAGAGCTCTGTGTGAACCACACTGTGGCAGGTGAATTTGAATTCCTTGCCGAGGAACTCATCTACACGAGGGCAAGATTTCGGCTGGTTCCATGTGTTTTCTTTAGTGAGGATCACTTTGTCAGTGACTTTTGCGGTCGCTAGCAAATCGATAAACTGGTGGATAGTGCTGTTCACAACCCACCTTCAGTTTTACATTATCGTCTCTGGGGACTGTACCAAAACTACACGGGATAGCCGATTCTTTTGTAACCTCTGGTAATGTTCCGTCTTCCGTGCTTGTAGTCCTCACGTCCTCCCCGGTTGGTCAACTCCATATTGAATCGAATGCGGCGAAGTGTGCAGTTGAGACAGAAAACTAGACTCACTGTATTCCACCAGGCTAAGTGGGCACACACAACTACCCATCGTGCAGTTCACACTGATCTGTCTCCAGGCCGTTTGGAAAGACACGCGTTGGTTTCTTCTCCCGGCTGGCCGCAGTGGACATTACTCACCAGTGAAGAGAGTGATGAAATTATCACGTCAGTAACTCCTGATCAACGCAACCCTTCGAATCTTCGGATCCGGTCACTACCGACCCATCATCTTGCTCGAACTGTAAGTCTTTTGTCTAATTCTTATTAGACCTTACCGTTCATTCTACCTAGCTATATCAGATCCAAATAAGCATTCTCTGACTACCGGAAGATATCAATGCAGTTCTAGTGCGGCTTTTATCCACACGTACCCCGCAACTGGAATAGATTCGGAGCACCGCAAAGACGTGTCTCAAAACTCGAATTTTGCCGTGTTTTATATGCTCGCATGATACTCTGAGAGCCTCACACCGGAGGAGTCCTCGATTCCTAATCGTCTCCAATTTATGCCATGATGTCACTTCTGTCAATTTGGAAGTTTTCGGCGGTCCTTCTTATGGATACTGGGTTTTGGTTCACAGTGTCACCATACACTCTTCTCCTCAATGTTACGCTGATCAATTTCGACAGCCTTACTAGGAGGATATTGTAACATTTCATAGCAAGCTCCAGTCTAGTTAAACCGTAATGTGGACCCTATTGATCTGGTCCGCACCTACGCAAAAAAGCAGCTTCCGAGGAGATTGACTTCTGTCCCAGTTTATTTTTCATAACAGTACTTGCTAATATCTTTGTTTGGTAACCGGGTTTCGTTACTCACAATTTCACATTACTCGAAAGCATTTTGATTATTCTACATTTTTGTCACGGTCATCTTACATTGGTATGAGTTCGTTCATTCTGCTAGTCCGCAACTTCCTCCCTCCTTGCGTTGATCTCGCTGCGCTCTGATGCAAACCTCATAGCTTACTTGTCCTACCCTTTCCTCACCACTTCTAGCATCACTCCCCTCTCATTCGCGGACCTAGACGGAAAAAGCGATTTGAGGAACTACAACCGCTTTTGCTCAAAGTGAGCTGTTGATGCTTCTCGTATATTTTTACACACTAATTCAGTCCGTCGCGTTTCAAAGTCCCTCACTTTCGGTTTTATCCATTGCCTTAGAATTCTAATTGGGTGTAACTAAATGGTGCGCGTTGTAGGCCAAAAGAAACGACTAATATGCAGCGAGTGCTGAGGCACTTTCAGATTTCCCAGGCCTAGACAGGGGAAGTCGAACTACGGAACTTCCGGACAATAAGTTCATGCATTAACCGTGAGCTACCTCGAGCACATTGTTAAGGGTTTATACAGGATCATTTTGAAGCAGGATAAGCTAACTTCAACAAATCACTTAGAGGTGCTGTCCGTTTGCGATGATTTTCCGCTGCCTCTTTGTGTCTCATCCCAAAATTGTTGGCATGAGGTTCTTGCTGAACAGTGTGATCTCATTCCGGATGTGCACTCAGCAGCGTGTTGCACATGTTGGGAGCACTTCACGTAATCTCTGCGCTCGATTCGTTTCTGTTCGGAGATACGTCACATGTTTGTTCAATCAGAGTATCTTTTTATACTTTAAATTACATTAATAATAATAATAATCGTTCAGCTGTAGCACCCTTTCGGTGCCTAGCTGCCATGCCACGCGAAGGAGGCACGGGGGCTGGGATACTGCCAGTTCGCCCAAGCCTTGACGGGGGAAGTCGAGAGGTAGAGGTCGGGTTCGGGACACGGACGTCCTGGTCAGTAAATTCGCGCAGATCCCTCAAATTAAATTAATCACATAATGCCCGTCGTCCCAAAATGTTTGCGGTCATTTGCTAGAGGCAATCAGCAAGATGAACCTGATGTCTAAGAATTCTCTCTTCGCAAAGGCAAAAGCCGTCTGCTGTCCCACTCATTACTGTTCGCGTTTTGTTCCTGTAAAGCTGGTCCCCGTTCCTAGTACTAGAATCAGGGTTGCAATCATTTTTCCATCCTTTGTTAGGGTTCGCATTTTACTTGCTCAGTCGAAGCGTAGTTCTGGACATCTGGATGGTTGACTCCTTCAGAGCAAAGTTCCCTTTTTTCGGATGCTTTCCCTACCGATGTTTCGCAAGTTCTGGAATACGTTTAATGTAAAGTCACTTGGCGTAGGAGTCAGCTGTTGCAGTTACTCTGTTCTGAAGGGGGCCTTCGAACAGACTAACCGCAGATGGTTTCATCTGGTAGTACCTTTCCTGCTGGAGCATCCCACACTAAACGAGCCAAAATCGTCTTCTTAAGGGTGATGGTTGCGCCACGTGA